AGGTTGTATTTATCTTAAATCAAGGACCTTTTTTTCCTTTTGTCTCATGCTCTGCCAGTGAGAAAGTACACAAAAGAAACTGGGAGAGACCATAGCCAGGACAGATGACCTAAACTAGCCAAAGGGATATTCCACACCATAGAACATCATGCTCAGTATATGAACAGGGATCTGGGTTCAGGAACAGGGGCTGGCATCAGTGGTGAGCAGTTGCATTGTGCATCACTGGGTCTTTTTGTTGAGTTTTGTTTTTTGTTTCACATTTTTTGCCCATTAGTATTTTATCTGATTTTGTTATCAATTATTAAACTGTTCTAATTTCAACCTATATATTTCACTTTTGTTTCTCCTCCCCATTTCACCAGGGTGGGGGAAGGGGGAGAGAAAGGAATGTAAGCTGCTGCATGGTTCTTGGCTGATGGCTGGGGTTAAACCACAAGAACAGGCAAGAGTCAGCAGGGAGAATTCAGAAAGCAACAGGATGCTCTTTTCCCTTATCCAAGTTCTTACAATAGGTCCTCATCCTTTATTATGTCCAATGTTTTCTCTCTACTATGAAGAAACTGGCAGATGGGTAACTACCAGAGCTGCCTTGGCAGCACATGGAACAGCTTTGGGATCTGACTCATTCCCTGGGGTTCCCTCACCCATGCACGTGGCTTTTGGGTAAGAGCAGCTCACAGGTGCTGGCAGAAAAGCTGCAGCAGGCTCACTGGGAGGCTGAAGAACAAGTAGTCGGAGGTGAGAGACTACAAAGGGGCTGCAGCCGCACCAAGAAGGTCCAACAGCACAAATCACAAATTCAGACCAGTCTGTGAGCCTGTGCAGGCATCATCATGTACTGTGCACAGTCTGCAGAGCTGGCAGAGCAGAAGTTGCTCTCAATGAGCTGGAAATGAGAAGAAAGTGCAGACCCCCAGACATGAGATGGCAGAGGCCACCTGGCAGACCAAAGCATTTTACACAGAGCAGGACTGCTTTTACCTTCTTACACATAATTTAAAGTAACAACATTTGTAACTCATGCAGACCCTACTACAAGAACAATGTATCAACCACTAAAACCAGACCTGTTCTTCTAGTTACTAAAACCGCAATTTAGAAAGGCTCTTAATACGTGATGAATTTTGGACACACATCCAAGAAATGCTATTTTGCTACCTTGAATGACACAAATCTTCCTTTAGGTGCCACTAATAATGAACAAATATGGTTTAAAACATGATGTGAAGTTCTGGCATCAAACTCCTACTGGCATGGCTGGCAGCTGCCATGAGAGCCTCTTCCTGATAGAGATCATCAGGTCTGCTCTACAAAAAGCACAGCCATTCATTCATTGCAACGTGCTCCTAGTCTCAGCTATCTAGTTTGAACTTTACAGCCGCCAGAGAGAAGCAGGATAAAAGGCAAATTCCCAGTTTATGCTAAAAAATTACTTTATTAAAAAGAATTTTACCTCCCTCCTTTTCTATCCAAAGAACTATATATTGAATTCTTGTGATTCAGTTCAAAAAATGATAAAGAAACAGCTGTTGGCAACTAGTACTGACCACAATGAAGCTTGAATCATTGAAATGAGGCAAATCTCACATCTCCCATAGGTTTTCAAACAGCCATTACAGAGGATTTCTTATTTATCTGCTCCTATTTCTATAGAAATGTAGGTAGATTTCAGCTTTCTGGTACATGGAGGTTGGATTTTTCCAAATTTTAGCTAGTGTTAACAGAAACTGTAATTATTTATTAGTGCCTGCAAAAATAATTTGCTTTTTCTGATGAATTAAAAACAATTTTTACAGGTTTTAAAGTCACCCAGGTAAAGTCATCAGGTACTTTTTCCTCTCAGGTGGCCCCGTTTGTGCTTCAACATGTTAGCACCATCTTTCAGACAAAAAAAAAAAAAAAGGACAGCAGAGATGTTGTCCAGTAAAGGTCAAGCATGTCATGCCAAGAGAAACCCATGCACATCAGTTCCAGCATGGCAGGGCAGTGCAGTGTGTGACTGATCTTTGTACAGAGCCAACTACTGTTCATAATATAAATACTAAAAATGGAATTAGAAGTCTGATCCAGCAACATGACATGAGAAGTATTTAGGACAGATGAAAGGTAAAGGAGGTATTAACCAAGGAAACGTAAAAGTATTCACCGAGGAAACCCTTATACAACCTATATCTGGATCTCACCCTACTGTGATTTCAGGAATAGTTTAAATGGTTGTAACAGGCTGTAGCTGCATCCTTTCTAATGCATCAGTTCTGAGCAAAAGAGATGCAAAGGTCAATGTCCTCCTTGCCTTTGGGCTCCTCTTTGGACTGACATTCTTATGCAGTGGTGTGAAGTGCTTGCCCTGGCAACAAAATGGCAAACCAAACCAAACCAAAAATCCTGTAAAAATGCAATGTAAACCTCTTCCCCCCTACCACTATTCTCCTGTATGTATACCAGTATGGCTGAAGGAAGAAAATTTATTACACACAGCACAACAGCTCCAGAATAGAGCACCTAGATTTCTTCCCTCTATGGCAAAGAGCAGATGGAGGGAGAAAACCAAATACTCCATGTTGAGATGAGTTGTGTCAATCCTGTGAGGTGAAAGGAAAGGATATGTATAAACAACAAATATGTAAAATGGGGAACATTTAATGTTTTTCTTTAACATGTATAAAACAAAATACTTTAGGAACTGAGTCAACGTTTGCCTTTCTGACTGCACTCCAACTTATTAATTGGTCACTCACCAAATGCAGGTTAGATGAACTCAGTGTCATTTCTGAGACTTTACAAAGGCATAGTAAAGACAAAGCAGCACATATAAAACTACTATATAGAAACAACAATCATGTAAGAAATATTCACATGATTTTATATAGAAAGAATAAATTTAAAGATGCAGTCTTTGAGAATTAGATACAATGTCTGGATAAGGCTGAAGTCCTAGCTGTTTGTTATCTTTCAACTTTTGTACTATAATTCTGGCAAACTCCTCTCCTTGGCTGTCTGAAGTATCAAGCAGTTGTCGTACTTTTGATGTCCTTGTAGGTTTGGTGCTTATAAGTTCATAATCTTCTTTCATGAGCAAATATCTTGATAGAAGAGCATCCAGTGATTGATTCAAACATGCTTCAGTCATCTGATCAATGATTTCTTCTCTTTTACTTTGGATCCATTGATGAGCTACATTCTGTTGTATGGTTTCCAATATAAAATCTGAGACTGGAGAGGATTGAAAAAAAAATACAGGATTTTAAGTGTCTGTCAATAAATAGTGAGAAAGAACAAAGAATAGGTTGAGAAAGATCTATTTAAAACTTTGTTTTGGTAATAAATACACTAGATGGCTAAACATGCTCTTAACATTTCACTATTGTATTTCACATATTAAAGTTCTAACTTGCCAAATTTGGTGGTTAGAGTATTTATTTTATCTTAATCACAGAATAATCTAGGCTGGAAAGAACCCTCAAAGAGGTCATGTGGTCTAATGGCTTGTTCAAAGCTGGGTCAACTTCAAGGATAACTCATGTTGCTCAGGGCCTTGTCCAGATGAATTTTGAGCATCTCCAAGTGATGTGATTTCTGCAGCCTCTATGGACAACCTGTTCCAGTGTTCAACCAGACCTAGTACTAAAAAAGAGAGACGTGGTAACTTGACTTTCCAGTGGGATTTTTATTGAAGCTCACTGAACACATCCCTGTACTTTCCTGGTATTTTCCTCAAGATGAGGATTCTCGTGGTAAAAAGGTGCCAATTCTCCTATTTCCAGAAACAGAATGATGCAGCAAATCTTTATAAAGATGCATGTTACTGTGTGGCCCCTCAAAAAAATGTATTTCTGAATAATACATCATGCATTAGAGCTTCTTTTAGTTACTTTTTGGAAGCACACTTTTAACAGTTGTATAGGAATATAATGTAGTGGGCTCTCCACTAACACAGAAAATCATTAAAGGTGACATGCTGACACAGCTGCTGTTTCTCTTTGCACCACCATTGCTAAATAGAAGATTGATAAGTCTAAGAAGTGAGAAGTGACAGGCAACAAGATGACTTAAGTCTGAGGTAAGTTTTTTTCATGTTCTGATGGACCGCAGCACTGTTACAGCAGTAGCAGACAGGAGAAATAATATGAGCAAAAGGAATGGGACAAAGAAGACCCATA